CCCAGTCAGTATACTGATGAATATTAACTCCATAATTCATGGTAATCTCGAACATAAATCATCGCAGTTGTCATTATGTATGTAATGTATTTGAAAGATGTAATATACTAAGCAATGTATACGACTGTCTAGACTGCATTGTTCTACCTAATTGCGTTCCGAAATTTCGTATTCGGTTCAGTTTGATTGTTTCAATATGCCTTCATAATTTTAATTAGTTATAGTTTTAAAATCACAAACCGACATTTATATGTAAAATAACAAATTTTCATAAACATGTATAGGTAGCTACAACAGTGAAATATGGACAACTATAGTCCTATAATATAAGCCTTTGTAGGACCATATCGTTTGCTTTCAACGTTTTCTCTAAATCGAATTTGTTTTTTTAATATCAGTGCTGAAGCAGCATATTGATAGTAAAAAAAAAAACATCCGATAGAAAATGTTCAAAGCAAACGATATGGACCTACGAAGGTTTATATTATAGGACTAGAACTAGAAAAACAATACCCCCTGTAATATTAACTTTCTCATGCGCAGTGGCTTCTGTATCCAATCTCCTCCTCCTCCTCTTTGTCTCTTTTTCTTCTTTCATTCTATTAATTTCTACTGCTTATTGTTTTGCCAACTTTCGTGTTTGTGCATCTAATTGCGTCGTTGCGTCAATAGCTACAATGGCAATGTGACAATTCTATTTCAGATTTCCCACTGAGTATCGAGGTTAGTATCTTACTTTAACGTCTAATGTTTTGACTGACCGAGAAAATAGTATACTCTTCGTTATTTGCCATTTGTGTCATTTCTTTTTAATTTTGGCTTTGGGATTGTCTGTCTTTCTTTGACTTTTATGTGAGGGTCTTTATGGGGGTCCTTCGTTTTGCCTTTATTCTTTATTCTTTTGAATTAAGCACCCCACCATTCTCTATTCTTGATTTCTTACTTATTTTTCCTTTTTATTTCTATATTTCTCCCTTTTATTCTACACATTTGCCTCTTTATTACTAGTATGAAGGGTAGTAAAGTCTATAAGGTTACAATACATGAAGGAAAAGCTGCAGTCCTGAGAAATGAAGATCCTCAAACCAATAGTTGTCGTACTGTATTTAAAATATGTGTCAATGCTATGGGAATATCAATTCAATCTAATTAAAACCCGATATCGCATCGCTCCCATTTTTACAAATTGGTTTTTAATTATAGATTGCTTTCAATATAAGACAGTAGTAATTATCTTTGAATATTGTTTGTATCGGTATTTACATTGGTTTTGTTTTTGATAAATCCAAGCATAGTTAAACTATTATATTGCTATATATTCTGTAAGTGCTTATATGGAAACGTATGCATATGGTCTTTCATCCTGTCGCCATTATGTACTTATATTTTGGCATGCACAAAGTCATGCTTTTCTCGGGCGGTTTATGAAGTGTTTATACTAAATCCGTTGGATGTTTACTGATTGATAATCTAGTCTGAGAGAACATGGTTTTCTTTATATAGTTGTTATTGACCGCTTGAAATGGCTTTCAGTAACTGCGAGTAATCTTGAATCAGTACTTTGTGTCTTTATGTTAGTTAGTTTTTGTTCTTTTGTTGTGTCGATACACACTGTCTTGTGAGGTTTGACAGCGCACACACATGTTTAACCCCGCAACTTTCTATATGTGCCTGTTAGGGCACAGGCTCAATGGTTGTTGTTGTTGTTGTCTGTCATATATGTTTTTTCGTTTATAGATTTATCATAAATCAGGCAATAGGTTTTATTTTTTTGTTTAAATTGTTTGACATATATATAATTTTTTATATAAAAAAAACACTGTCAAAATGTACATAATATACTGACTATAAATATATATATGCGGTATGAGTTTTGCTCATTGTTGTTAACTTCTAATGTCATTTGGTCTCTGGTGGAGAGTTGTTTCATTAGCAATCATACCACATCTTCTTATTTTTATATATACTGTCACCTCATAGATAATGTCTTCAAATCATTCTGATTAATGAAAAAGATCATGCATCTACGCTTCAATAAGGATCTGTGTTTTACTCAGATTTTCTTCAAATAACAGTAATGAAAACAACGAGAGTTGCACTGTCAATAGTCTTGACCTGCTACGTATACAGGCACATGCATCCCTCCTAAAAGATCAATCGTACCATAGATGTATAACCCATATTATGGGTCGAACCTTCTACATTAAGTTCATGTATTCATGCAGGACCTGACACACTTCCACGCACATCTCTGAAAGATATTTCAATTTAACATTAGTTATTCATCAAACAATAAACAATTACTAATAGTCCAGATGAAAATCTTGAAAAATGAACTTTTTTTATGTGCGCCGGCCATGTTTTGACATGCATGCACCTAATCAAGTTGTAATTCCCTCTGCACCCAATGTGACTGGGGAATTAAAATATCGTAATTTGGTCTTCTTCATACCGGATGTAACACTGTTGTCAAAGTAGGGCGTCCGTTTGGCTGTGTGGGATGTACAAGTACGCAGCCACGTCCGATCAAAATGGGACGTTTAATCCGATGCCACGGGTAGAGAGAGTGCCACGCTCTCAGCACGTTAAAAACCCTCGCAACAACTCTTTCATGGGTCCGTATGTGGCCTATTGCAAGGCAAAATTCCTGTCCTTTCCAATATACCCTCATTTTCCAGTGGCAGTCCAAATTTCCCTAACCTTCATCCCGGACGGCCTCTATTAAGGGCCTATCTATTGTATTTCTTATATTTGTTCATGTCCCGAACATGCATGAAATATTTGCCACTGGACGTTAAGCAACCAACAAGCAATCGTTATCAATGATTGTGATCTTCGTACAATAACATGTTCACAACAAATGGCGGTGTTACCCCGATGTCACAGAAGCAGGGGTTCGAATCCCGCTGAGGGAAGAACAAAAAGTTTGCAAATTTGCAAATCTAACATTGTTGCATGGGCTAAATTTGAGACGAATTATATATATATATATATATACGCCTAAAAAAGTGTACAAAAAAACACCCTTGTGCTTGGGTGTTGTTTTGTACACTTTTTAGGCGTATATATTATTTTAAAATTTCTATTGTGTACAGTTCCGTTTTGTTTTTGATAACGATCCAGTGCCCTCGTAAGAAATTCGTTGATTAATATCTAGACGTTTTATCATATAGTCTAGAACAGAAATGAAGGGATCGAGTTGTACAAGAGAATTACAGCAAGTTAAGCACATACATATCTTGTGCTTGTGTTAGTTTGAACATTGTGAATTAAGAACGTAAAACTGATTGTTTTCCCAATTTATTTATGTATTCACAAAAGATAAAACTTTAAATATTGTATTCAATTTTTATCAAGCATTTAAACTGGAACTACGATTATACTAAGTTTGTATGATAGTCCCAGATTTAAATTTAACTGTTAGATTCCTATGATCTCTTATAGTTTCTAGCTGTAACGGTTAATGTGCAAAGGGAAGCAACTTTAGTTTATCTACATTGGTTTATAGATAATTGATGATCAGCAGGTGTGTGATCTAGACCCATATCCTAAATTGTAGTCCACAAAGCTGACCAAAACGTTTCATGCAACAATCTTCTGAAGAAAAATAATATACTTTGAAAAGAGAATAATCAATTTATCAATAAAAGGAGTTCTAGTTTTTCATTACACTTTGTATATACGTCCACCTTGAAAAATCATTTGACATCGATAATTCATGGCGAGTATTTTCCGGTTTTATTTGATTTATGAATTAACAGATGTGTAATTTTGTTGATAGTAAGATTACAAGTAAGTAAGTATATCCTGAAAAGTCCAGTCTATTCCGGTGAATACCGGTATATTTACTTATGTTTTATCCTGAAGGGCATTGTTTTTGCATAGCGAATATATACATGTACATACATTTGAAAATTTACATTAACAAAAAGATGACAAACAGCTAGGCGGATGTTACATTTTGGGTCAATACTGACTACCTTTCAAAGGACCTTCATGAAGAGAATATCATATTACAAATTATTGTATCAATGAACTGGTTGATTCTTTTAACTCAACTGGAGTCATTGGTTTGCAAACAAGAAAAATACAATGGTGGTCAAATCATTTTGCTACTAAAACATTACTATTTTTATCTCAGTCCTCGTCATAGGGCTCAAGCATATCAATAAAGTAACATATACAGACAATACAATATAATTGATTATTAATACATATATATGGGGACACGACCAATTGATTTTCGAGGGGAGGGGGATTTTGAAAAGAATATCCTGGCCTTGTACGTAAGAGCTGAATTGCATAAGGCAGGATGAATATGTAATAATATATTCTGCAACGCAAAATGCTGGATTCAAACGTGTTCAAAAGTGCAAATAAATTTTGGCGCGGCAATTCCGCAAAAGAAAAATTATCCATGCATAGCAACAGTCTATCCGAAAAAAAAACTCTTGTCCGAGCAACAACATTGTTTCTCTATTCTTTAGTGTGTTAGTCCATTATTGTGACCGTACTTTTTATGTCAGTTTTGCAGCCCATTATTACCTATTCTTTATATTTGGTCCATTATTCAGTCTGAGACTACAATATAACATAAAGCTACTTCTTATATCATAAAGCCTTAGATTCAGTCTTTAAAAAAACATCATCTAGACCCTCGAATTACAAGATAGGCATCCTGGTCCATCCTGTATCCTGCCTCTTTATTTCTCGGCATTTAGTATCTTTTCCGCGCAAAACTTTTCTTCGAGTGTATTGCATATATATTTTAATCATATGACAAAAAGAAATCCATAGCAAACTAATGACAACAATAAAATGAGAGAGCGGAAATTTTAAAAACTGTTCCACTATAGCAGGTCATCGGAAAATAATAATGTTTTAAGAGGCACTAGGTCAGTGCGTGTTCGTCAACTCGGCCAATAAGATTCAACAACATTGAAGTGACCAATCAAAATGCGTCATGCATGTGGCGCGGTATAAAAGTCATTGTAACCCTAAATTCTTTCTCACTCTTATAACTAATCGAAGAGAAACCAGGAAACTATATTTTACAAAATTATCAATAACATTATATAATTAACAGACTGTTAATAAGGAAAATATGGCATCTAGAGTAATCAATTTCTCAGCAGGACCTGCCAAGCTGCCTATTGAGGTAAGATGACAATTGTTTGCATTTTTACTCTATTTATCTAAAATCACTTATTATCTAGATTTTATTCCAAGTCGACGGAATTTTTATGGTATTGAAGAATGATTTCATACAAATTTGTGATACTGTTACCTCGCATTCTTTCAAATTAAAGCGATTTTTTCTCTGAAGTGGAGACAGAAATCACGCATTCAGTTTGGAGGGCACATTCATTTCAAAATCTAAAACTAAAATTTTACAACTTTTCCTGTAAATCGCACATATTTTCTTCGTCGACGGAATTTTGACATTTGTATGTTCGGATTTTAGTGAAAAATGTACAACTTTTTTCTTGTCACTTAAGAATATAAGCATTTTTTCACTAGTGCCAATGGTGGATGCCGAATCGGGGCCATGTCATGTTGAGAAAATTCCGTGTCAAACTTGAATTGATGATGAAATCACGATGGATAAGATCATATAACATAAATACATATATACAGATTATTTCTTAATGATCACAAAATTTGTTTTTAGGTTAAATGCATAACTTTGCAATATTTATTTTTTTGATGTGCAGTGGAAAATCCCCATGCTTATGTAAATTTATGTAGGGTTATTTATGGAGCGGATGGCATTGTGTGAACTGTGTGTTTTGCATATTGAGGTCACAGACAGTCTGGTCACGTTGAATCAAGTCACGGTCTCCCATGTAACATTGTTAATATAAACCAGACGAAAGGCTAAATCTACTTATGGAAACAGGGAATTTTTATTACTGAAGAACAATTATTATATTTATAAACATGTTTGATTTCATAGTTGAGTTTATTGACATTGTCAGTTGGTTATTTAATTAGACTAACTCTGTTCTCAGATTGTATTACTCTAGAAAATTTAAATCAATATTACTTTTTGGAAACTAGTTGACCTCATTAATTTGATTAAATTAGTGACGCCTAGTTTGCTGAGGTGACGCATTTTGTTTTATTAGTTAATTTATAAAACGATGATTGTATCCCTTGTTTTACCAAATCAATATTTTCTTCTTCTTAAATTAAGCTTTTAATTTTGTTTGCTATTTTCATTTCTTCAAAATACTATTCCATCTTATACATTAAAATCCTTATTTAAGGTAAAAATTATTTATATTAAATGCTTCTAAAGGCATAAGCATGATAAGCTGGTTGCTTTCTTCTTCTTCACAGAACACTTACATTTACATGGTTTCAATACCCCTCCTTAAAAAAATAAAATAAAATATCGCCATTCAATTTTAGGTATAAAAAAATTAGAATAGAATACATAGTGAAAAAAAAACTTTTTAAATTTAATTTTTTTTTTTCTTAAGTAAATTATAATTATTAATTATTATAATCTTAAGAAAGTACATTTCATTTGGTTTAACAATATATATTTTTTTTTCATAAGTCTACTCCTGTCCTTTGGTCTGGTTCAATACCAGATGTACAATTGAATATTTTGATTTTTTTTTGAGAGAGAAAAAAACGCATACAATTGTTATTTTATCTAATTTTAAATTCAATTTGTTTTATTTTGCAGGTATTGCAGAGGGCCCAGAAAGAAATGTTAAACTACAATGGTCTTGGAATTAGTGTTATGGGTAAGTTTTAAGAAACAAAGTCTGGTACTCTTATAACCAAAGGGGTTTGTTAGTATAGCCACATAGTATAAATACCTTTAGCTTGTTTTAATCCAGTGAAGTAAGAATAACGACCAGAGAAAACAAGGATAATATTAACAGTATACAATTTAATCTTATTTCAACTGAACATCTTATTACTGTTGTCTGATTGTAAATCCAAGATCCTGTAACTATTTTTAACTCAAAAAAGTCTGTTACATTTGGATAATCTCGAGGTTTTTCTTTTAACAGAGTTGAGTCACAGATCAGCTGATTTCACAAAGATTATCACCACAGCAGAGAATGATCTACGTCAGCTTCTGTAAGTATTTTATTATTGTTACAGATTAGACTTAGAAATCTGAATCTTGTATACTCCACATATCTTTTTATTCATTGCTGTAATGGGGATTCATTTATTTTCGGGAATGATGAAAAAGGTTATTTTCGTGGACTTCTTAGCTTGGTTTTGCCAAATTCTGCAGAACAAGCTGAGGGCAATTTTTACTTCTTTGAACATTTAAATTCTTGTTCCACCTATTACCACTAAATCCACAAAAATTGGTATCCCACGAAAAACAATTTATCTGGAATTAGTCCGTTAATAGTTTATGATAGTTAGAAGATGTAGAAACAATTTTTGCATCAATAAAACCATCACAATAATTTTCTGAAATATTTTCTTTACATTTTTCAGGAACATTCCAGACAACTATAAGGTCATTTTCAAACAGGGAGGTGGAACTGGCCAGTTCTCTGCCATTCCATTGAATCTGATGAACTTCAAACCAGGAGGCACTGCAGATTATATTGTGACTGGTACCTGGTCAGCTAAAGCTGCTCTAGAAGCTGAGAAATATGGCAAGATCAACAAAGTTGTACCCAAAGTCTCTAAATACACAAGTAAGAATGCTGTTAATTTGATGGGTGGAATGTGATGAACATTTTAAATTTAAGAAGAAACAAAATTTAATCTGTTGGCAAAGGAATATTTTCAATGTGTTTGCAATTTTTGATTTCACATGTTTTCGTGCTTGTAGCTCATTATGTAGATGTGTACCATGCTAATTGGTAAAAAAGCAACGTGTAAGCTATATTTCTTATTTAAAATTTTGGAACAATGATTTAAAGTTTGATTATGTGTACTAGTAGACAATATGTTTTGATATACATGTATATATATTGTCAAGTATGTCATCCAGTATATAATTTTGTTGTTGATATTTCAGGTATTCCAGACCCGTCCACATGGAATCTTAACCCAGAAGCTTCATACGTCTATTATTGTTCTAATGAAACTATTCATGGTAAGTTTTATACCATGTTAAAAGTTGACATACATTGATGGGTGATTGCTTGACGCAACATCAGCTTAAAAGTCTATATCATGCCGACCAGTTGACATTCACAACACAATATAAAAAAAGGAGATGAGGTATGGTTGCCAATGAGACAACTATCCACCAAGGTTCAAATAAAATGGATGTAAAAATAACACTGTTTTAGAAATGATGAAATGTTCATAGCAAAAAAAGCTAGCCTACTGATTTTTGTCCTTTTTAAAGAAACATTCAGGGAAAAAAGCAGATTATGTTCTGGAGAAATTAAATTGTGGTAAAATAAAACATTGAAATGTTGAAAAATATTTGCGAAAACATCAAAATTACAGTAGAGACATGTATGTTGATGTTCTTATGACAATATTTTCATATTTATATAATTACTGATTATAATACAAAATATTTTTAAATGTTCAAATATTTTTTTTTACAGGTATAGAATACCAGTATATACCAGAAACTAATGGTGTACCCTTAGTCTGTGATATGTCCTCAAATATGTTATCCCGTCCATTTGATGTTTCTAAGGTAAGTTATTGTCTCCCTTTAAAGGTTTTTTGCAAGTTCCTTTAAAGATGATTTCTTAATCCCAAAAAGTTTGTAATGTTGAAAGAAAAATATTATAAAACATTTTACAAATGTATCATGTGAAAGAAATTAATTAACTGAAAAACACAATAAAAAAGCAAATATATACATAAATATCCGTTACAATTAATGTTTTATGATTGACCATAGAATTGAGACATTGACAGTTAATAGTCCAACAGCAATACATGTATGCAATTACTACCAATTATTAAATTAAAATTGAAAAACTAAATTTTTGTTTCGCCAGGTTTGTTGCTGAATAATGAAATTTAGTAGCCCAGGCCACTGGTTCCCTGCTTATCTTTTTCCTTGTATTTGATAACCATCCTTTGTCTTACAGTTTGGTGCTATATTTGCTGGTGCTCAGAAGAATATTGGTTGTGCTGGTGTAACTCTAGTCATTATCAGAGAAGATCTCATTGGTCACGCCATGCAGGCTACCCCAGTTATATTTGACTACAAAATACAAGTTGGGAATAATTCTGTGTACAACACAGCACCTACATACAAGTAAGTTATCAATTCACTGTTTAAGAATCTAATTACAATGTCCCAAACAATGGAAATTCAACAAATAACATGACATAATTTTCATTTTGGGGTACAAACAATTAATGAAATTACAGACAATCCTTTACATAATGAAAAACCTTTCCCTGATTTATAGGAGCTATCAAAAAAGTCCAATAATAAAATTATAATAAAAGAAAAGATATTTATTGACATTTCCCAAGAAAATTGTAGAATTGAATTAATTAGAATAATCTTTTGAATCGAACTTTTCTATTTTCCCTACCCTCTCAAAGTTAATTTCTTTGTAAATGTACAAATATGTTACATATATTTATGTATTAATTCAAGTTCCTTGTTTTAACTGATGTTTACTTACATTGTACAGTGGGCCTTTAGAACACAGCTACAGTTAAAGACTGATATTTTTTGTTAGTTTTATTAAGTGTGAACAAAGAGCAAGTCAGTATAAGATTATTTTTGCCCAAGTTAAATATTTGTATGGTAATTGTAATTAGTAATTTCTAATTTTTCAGTATATACATCCTTGGTTTAGTTTTACAATGGTTGAAAGATAACGGAGGTGCCGAGAAGATGGAAGAGTTGTCTGCCATTAAATCTAAAGCAGTGTATGACATCATTGATAACTCAAATGGATTTTACTAGTATGTATATGTAAAATTGTTAAGGTTCCATGAAACATGGGCACGTAGTTAAAACAGTTTTATTGTTTTGAATAAAAAAACTTTTATCATCGAAGTCCTTAAATGTTATTTAATAAAAGGAACAATGTAATGGTATTTCTAGATATTTGCAATACTTGACCCCACATCATTGTAATGGTATTTCTAGATATTTGCAATACTTGACCCCACATCATTGTAATGGTATTTCTAGATATTTTCAATACTTGACCCCACATCATTGTAATGGTATTTCTAGATATTTTCAATACTTGACCCCACATCATTGTAATGGTATTTCTAGATATTTTCAATACTTGACCCCACATCATTGTAATGGTATTTCTAGATATTTTCAATACTTGACCCCACATCATTGTAATGGTATTTCTAGATATTTTCAATACTTGACCCCACATCATTGTAATGGTATTTCTAGATATTTTCAATACTTGACCCCACATCATTGTAATGGTATTTCTAGATATTTTCAATACTTGACCCCACATCATTAACATAGCATTGAAAGTTTATTTGAGTAAAGAATTGGGAATAGATGAATACAAAATAAACTAGATTTCAAGTTATCTAAAAAAGAAATGCATGTCCAAAATTAATAAGGCTGAAATAAATATATGACGTGTCAAAAGGCACATTTTATTTTTAATAAGAAATTTTAATCAATTATATCCTATAATTGCTCGGGTCTTGTGGTTTAGACTATCTTACAATAATCACCACCCATCAGATATTAAATGGAAGCATTTTTACTTCTTATTTTATTAAAGGGAGATATAAAAATTTTGGTCTCAAATTAATTTCTTTGTTTTGTTTACAGTTCTCCATTAGATAAGTCATGTCGTAGCAGAATGAACGTAACCTTTAGGATTGGTTGTCAAGATGGAGATGAAGCTTTAGAAAAATTGTTTCTTGCAGAAGCTGAAAAACGTGGATTGACCTCTCTTAAAGGTCATAGGTATGTATGCATTTATATTTCTACAGTGATATGATCTTGAGTTTGTATACAGATGCATGAAAAAAAAATATGCAAGTTAAGTAGCTGCCTACACACTGAAAAGCTTTTTATCCTCTTTGCTGTCCATGGTTGTTAACAAGTCATTTGTAGAACACAGGATTTCCGAGATAGGGGTCTCTTCAACGTTGAGGTTGAAAAGTTTTTCATTAATGAATAATTCTAACTATTTGCATATCTTCAAATTCTTTAATCAGATAAATCCGTTAGAATTTTTTCCCTTGGTTTACATTTGAATAGACCATGTTGCCGAAACAACTTTTATAACTGTCACTGTGATCTATTCCTAGGCAATACACATGCATGGGATCCGAGGGTTTCAGTAATCTTGTTGATGTTGTTTTCAAATAGCAAATTCAACTTATAATTTTTCTGTTTATTTCAGGGCTATTGGTGGAATCCGTGCATCATTGTATAACGCTCTGTCTGTAGAAGAATGTATGGTTCTTGTCACTTTTATGCAGGACTTCTTAGAAAAACATCAATGAAGGATCTAGAGTAAAAGAACATCAATGAAGGATCTAGAGTAAAACGAACAATCTTCATCATTTGAATCTCTCTAGAGTTGTCCACAAAAATTAGAACAATTTATTTTTACATCGAAATGAATTGGACAAAATGAAACTAATGAAATTTTTTCAGTTGACATTTTTAACTAATCAAATGTGTTAGATTGTTACAAGGTTGAAGTCCATCAGTAGATTGGACCATTCATTTTATGTAAAAAATGTAGTACATCTGACGCTTGACTCAAAATTGAAATCTAGTCATAACTAAACAGTTAACTCATTGTATCATAAGTAGTGTGATTCTGTTTAAATAATCAGATTCAGATATGTTTTAATCATAACAATTATATCGGATTTATTATGTATTGTTTTACGTATGAATTTGGTAAAATTTTAATGTGCAGCTACTATAATACATGGCTCAGTATAAGAACTGTTTTGCTGAGAAAACATATCTTATGATATTTTAATAGGGCATATATGTATTCGGGTTAGTTTGAAATTATATGTTACAGTTAATATATTTTTAATCAGCGAAGGTTGACATTGTCAAAAAGTTTTAAGGCCACACAAATTGAATTTTTGTTTGTTTGATTAGCTGATCAGAAATTGGCAGAAAATCCTTAAACGAAAAACAAGCACATTTTTTCCCCTAAATTCAAAGAACGAAAAAATAATTTGTGTAGCCTTTTAATTCGAACCAAAGATCTATATTTTTAAATATTTATATTGTATTCTATTTTAAATACTCCATGAATATTTCATACTCATTGGCCATGTCTTGATCACATTGAATTTTAATCTCGTATTTGAGATGTATTGGTGATGAAGCCTTTATTTTCTGTTTTAACATTAGTTTGAATACTCTTGTCATAGACATGTTATACTTAACCATAGGAGTGGGCTGAATCTCTACAAAGAGTTTAAAATCATTTTTTTTAAGTTATCTAAAAAGAACAAATTTTATGCTAAAACATAACCTTTTAGAGATCAATCTAAGAGAGATATTCCCCCCTAAGAGGAGATTCTAAATCATCAATTTGGTTTATGGAAAATTTGAGACTATGACACACCAGATCTATTATTTTGCATAAATATATTATTTTATTTTTACATCATTTGTTTACTTTGTGTGTAGGAATGTTCCATTAATATATATATATATATATATTAAAAGGCCTTGATAGTTTAATTCTGGAATTGGATATAATTTTCATATTTTATATATCATTATTTTAAGGGCTGTTCCAGATTTAATTGTTTGGGGGACTGAAGAAACTTTTATTAAAATTTACTGATGGTGATTAGTTCAGAAAGATCAACAATTATAGGAAATAATTAATTGGAACTTTATGCATGGAGATGTAAAAAGAAGTGCTTTTTACCCCCACCCCTTTTTATTTCTGGTGCAGCATTCAGCAAAGGATAATATACCTCTCCATACAAGCAACATCTTAGTGCCTTAATACCCTATGTGTTAATGGAATATTCCACATGTACAAGTGCTTATGTACTTGTATGTTGTTATTAGCTAGTGATTCACGTTGTTATCATTTTATCCATTATAAATTACTTGAATGTTAGCATTTATCATTGTAAATTGTTTCATTACACAGTCATTATCATAAATACATGTATGTTGATTATGAGATTAAAAATGGATAAAAATGAGTCTTAGTTCCAATAATTCAGTGCCATATTATTCACACAAGGGGCCTCAGTGGCCGAATGGTACAAGTAGTTCATCTACTTTATCACTAGCCTGTCAACACTGAGGTTGTGAGTTCGAACCTCGCATGTGGCAGGTGCCCTCTATTCCAAACTTAATTGACAAGGATTGTCAGTTTTCCTGTCAATGGTTGGTTGTTCTCTCCGGACACTCCAGCTAAAAACTTAATCGCCACAAAATAGCCAATAGTGCTGAAAGTGGAGTTAAACACCAATCAATCAATCACTATTCACAAAAGAAGAAGTTACTCAGTTGCAAATCTCATGTGAACCATTTGTCCTTTTGAACAATATGTTTCAAATGAGATGTAGGCACATGTCAATGCGACAGCAACCTAATTACACCAATAAACCAAAAAGAGGAAGCGTGCTGTCTTTAACAATGGATAGGTGTCTTTACAAGATTTCAGGCTGTAAATACTATCTGAGGTCTAATAAAAATTGAATAATTTAAACAGAAACAAAGATCTGCAAACCATACAAAATTCTCCAAATCACAAAAAAACATTGAAAAGATGATACAACACAACCAATGAAAAGGACTCCAGAAGGCTATATAAATAAGAAGATGTGGTATGAGTGCCAATGAGACAACCATCCATCCAAGTCACAATGTGCAAAAAGTAAACAATTATAGGTCAAAGTACGGCCTTCAACACAGAGCCTTGGCTCACACCAAACAACAAGCTATAAAGGGCCCCAAAAAGACTAGTGTAAAACAATTCAAACAGGAAAACCAACGGTCTAATCTATATAAACAACTAGAAACACTTATGAACCACACCAACAAACGACAACCACTGAACATATTTAGTGTACTAATTGTAATTGTCTTGTGCAAACTGTAAAAAAATCTCTTACATTGTATATTGTGAGAAAGTTGCTATTGCAATTCTACAGATGTTGTATCACTTTATAACACGTCTGCTGTTAGATTCTCACATTTAGTATATGAGCTGCGTTGGATACAAATCGACCTTATGCAAGTGCATGTATACATGTACATGTATAACACTTTGATTAATTTTGGAACATTCAAATACGAAATAAAGGATGAATTTTTGTCTGTTATATAGGGTTTTTAAACAATAACAGATTTTGCATAGAGATTTTTTTCAACCCGAAATAGGTTAACATATGTATTGATATTCATTTGCATAATGTCGATTTCTATCCGAGACAGCTCATATATTTCCACACCTTGTGTCACAAATATATCACGGTGACTGCAATATTATTTATCTCTCAAGCAAATTTATTTATTAATAATTAACTTTTGTTTTAAGGGAGCTACCATTTGATTTTTATGGGGGGGGGCTAGGATGAAAAATTTTGTCCTGCATTTTTCACTCTATTTGATCCTGACTTTTTTTACATAAATTGTCATCCTGCCTTTTTTTTTACTCAAAACTCATGTCCTGCCTTTTCTCAAATTTCATCCTAGCCCCCCCCCCCCATAAAAATCAAATGGTAGCTCCCTAAATCCAATTACAAATAAAATGCTCCGCAGGGCGCAGCTTGATACGACCGCAGAGGTCGAACCCTGAACAGTTGGGGCAAGTATGGACACAACATTCAAGCTTGATACAGCTCTGAATTTGGATTGTGATTAAATATTTGACACAGCATAGGTTTCTGACACAGAATGAATGTGGTCTAAGAACTTAAAAATTTTAAATTGGACATTCACCTATTATGGTCCAATATCCAAAATCTAAATACATGGTTAGATTCAGCATATCAAAGAACCCCATATATTCAATTTTTGTTGAAATCAAACAAAGTTTAATTTTGGACCCCGATTTGGACCAACTTGAAAACTGGGCCCATAATCAAAAATCTAAATACATGTTTAGATTCAGCATATCAAAGAACCCTAAAAATTCAATTTTTGTAAAAATCAAACTAAGTTTAATTTTGGACCCTTTGGACCTTAATGTAGACCAATTTAAAAACGGAACCAAAAATTAAGAATCTAAATACACGGTTAGATTCGGCATATCAAAGAACCCCAATAATTCAATTTTTGATGAAATCAAACAAAGTTAAATTTTGGACCCTTTGGACCTCAATGTGGACCAATTAAAAAACGGGGCCCAAAATCCCAAAAACTTAATACACGGTTAGATTCAGCATATTAAAGAACCCCAAGAATTCAAGAATAAAACCCCATTGAAATTGATCAAGAAATAAGCAATTTATACGAAGTATCTTCTTTTGCACAATACTGTGCAATTGAATATTTCTTGCTATTGCGCAATACTGTACAATTGACAATTTCTTGCTATTGCGCAATATTGTGCTATTGGATATTTCTTGCTATTGCGCAATACTGTGCAATTGAAGATTTCTTGCTATTGCGCAATACTGTGCAATTGAAGATTTCTTGCTATTGTGCAATACTGTGCAATTGAAAATTTCTTGCTATTGCACAATACTTATTATATAATAATTTACACATCCTGTTTTTGGTGTGTATCTCCTACCATATCATTATTATTTGCTTTTAAATATTAATCAGAAATAACCAACTTAAAATGGAAAATTTTAAAAGAAAAAAAAAGGAAAAAAAGAAAAAAAAAAAAGAAAAAAAAAATCCCCCCCCCAAATTTTTTTGAACCCCCCTTATGATTCATCACCCCCAAACTCAATCCCAGCCTTCCCTTTGTGGTATGGTACCTTGCAGTACAATTTCAGAGAGATCCATACACTTGAACACAAATTATTGTCTGGAAACTAGAAAAATGCTTATTTTTGGCCCCTTTTTGGCCCCCAATTCCTAAACGTTTCGGGCAATTACCCCCAAACTCAATCCAGCTTTCCCTTTGTGATATGGAACCTTGTAGTACAATTTCAGAAATATCCAAACACTTACACACAAGTTATTGTCATGAAACTAGAAAAATGCTTGTTTTTTGCCCCTTTTTTGGCCCCTAATTCCTAAAATTTTGAGGCAATTACCCCCAAAATCAATTACAGCCTTCCCTTTGTGATATGGAACCTTGTGGTACAATGTTAGAGAGATCCATACACTTACACACAAGTTATTGTCTGGAAGTTACAAAAATGCTTATTTTTGGCCCCTTTTTCCTTAAATGTTGGTACCATAACCCCCAAAATCAATCCCAACCTTCCTTTGGTGGTATTGAACCTTATGGTAAAATTTCATGGAGATCTATTCACTTAAACTAAAGTTAGAGTGCGAAAACCAATGTGTCTTCGGACGACGCCGGACGACGCCAGACGACGACGACGACGCCAACGTCATACCAATATACGACCAAAAAATTTTTAATTTTTGCGGTCGTATAAAAACATGTACTCCTACATCAGCAATGTGATAAAGTCCTGTTCATCCAACAATATATATAAACCAACTGTGATCAAAAGTTCAAAACACTTGTGTACTTTGTTTATAGTGTCTATATGCCATTTTGTTTTTCTTGGTTGAAATAGTGATTTGTTTTTATAGTGATTAAGATTATAACAAAATGTTGACTGCTGTACCCTAATTTTTGACATTTTTACTTGTTATGTCTGTTTGTTTTGCTTCACACATTGTTGTCAATATAATGGAATTCTATGTGACTGACATACAAGTGAGAGGTTAAGCTAGCTATAAAACCAGGTATAATCCACCATTTTCTACATAAGGAAATGCCTGTTCTAAGTCAGGAATATGATAGTTATTTTTCATTCGTTTGATGTGTTTGAGCTTTTGATTTTGCCATTTGTTAAGGGACTTTTAGTTTCCGTTTTGAATTTTCCTTGGAGTTGGGTATTTTTGTTATTTTACTTTTTTTATGTGACAAATTACAGTCCATCAAAATTACTAGCAAATGTGATATAGTGTTGATGAAATGATGTTTAATGTCCAGTTGCAACTATTGCATGCAAACCAGTCTGAGGAAAAATAGCTTTGCAGTAAGAAATGCCAAATTATGGAATAAGCTACCAGATATTAAGTTACAAAAGCTCTTTCTATAAATGCATTTAAAAATAGACTAGATAAGTATTGGGAATACGAAGAAATCTATTATTCTGATTATCGAGCTGAAATAACCGGAAGCAGCAACAGAAATAATAGAGATATAATAACACAATATATGAGTCTGGTGAAGAGGAACCGTGAGGATCCTGTACCGGAAAACATCATTAAGTTTAAGTATGCATATCAGAAAGAGAACATGTTTAATGTGATATAGGAATATGAACATGCTTTGTATTAGACTGACATCCTGAGCTGGATTTTGAACATCCTTGTTCACAAGGTAAGTCTGCATGTCACCCTTCACCAGGACCCATTGTTCTGACTCCTAGCCAACCAGTATTTGATCTTATTCCTGAATGCTCTACGCTAAGCAGAGAAGCTCTAAATATCAATTTCAATTTTCCAATAAGACAGGGTTAAACAAACTACAGGTTTCAAGGAGCCTGAATCCCTCATCTGGTAAAAATGATGCCACATTGAGATAGACCTAAAAATCAGGACACAAATTTATTAAAATTTCTTTTTACTTTTATAGATTTTGTGTTACTGATCAGTTTAGCTATATAAGCTTTCTGTCTATCTTTTTCAGATTTAAAATAAATAGGCAAAAATACTAAAATTGGTTAAAAATGATTATTTAGGCCATATAAGGCCAATAACTCCTATTAACAGTTATCTGATAATTTTGGTACAAATAAAAAGTAAGAAGATCTTGGTACTATGAACATTTTCACCTTGTCAGAATTGCTCTAATCATTATGGTTTTCAAGAAAGTTGACAATTACTTGCATTTTACCTTATGTACTACTAGTAGGTTGAATCACAAATTATAATCTAGACACTTGAAGAATCACTCATATGAAAATTGGTTTGAATGGGTTCAGTAGATTTCATTTAACAACCCTCTCCAAATGATGGCAAAAGCTCATCATGACCTTCTGGCCAGATGATCTAAACAGTATTTTGATGAGATTTCCTTCTAGAGAAAATTTTGGTTGGTATGTTTTTTTACATTTTGCAATTTTCTCTTTACCTTGATATAGGCAGGCCTGTCTGCACAATTCATTAAAAAATATCAATAAAAAACTTTAGGTATTTTGAGGTTGGAAAAAATAGGGTCAGGAGAGAAACTCTACACTCTTTTTTTGCTTGTTTTGACCTAAAGTTAGCTGCACAACAGCACTAAACACTTAACATTGTTCAAAATATCAGATCACCAAGACAAGATTTAGCAATTACAACATGAATGAGCCTGATGAAGAATCACATGATTGTTCTTGTCAGATCATCCAGTATCAGGAAAACGGGGAATTTTTAAACATTTCAACAACAATAACCAAAGATATTCATATAAAATCAAACTATGCTATGCCCATAATCTGGATTGTTTGGTAACAAATAGTATATGATTATAGTGAGGGTCTGAATGGGGTTTCCAGAATAGAGAATAATCTACAAAATATACAAAAATAAACAGCTGCGCCATGAGCGCATGATACGCCCGTTGCTTTTTCAAAGAATAAAGTTCAATTACTTCTCAATGTTATATCAGAAATTTATGAAAAGCTAAAGGTACTCTGAGGTTATCTTAAAAGATATTAACCAGTCACCAAAGCACTTTGAAGATATTGTCCGAAAACTGGAAAATCACCCATTTTTTATGAATAAAATCCCATAACTCGGAAATGTAAAATCTAAAATTTATAAAAATTGAAAGGGAGCTTGCTTCAATAGATATAAACAATTCACCAAAATTTCATGAAAACTGCTGAAAGCATTTTTGGGGTTATTGTCTGAAAACTGGAAAATCCCTCTTTTTTTAATGAATAAAACCCCACAACTCGGAAACGTATAATCTAAAATTTATAAAAATTGAAATGGAGCTCAGGTCAATAGATATAAACAATTCACCAAAGTTTCTTGCAAATGGGTGAAATTGTTTTCCAGTCATTGTCCGAAAACTGGAAAATCCCCCTTTTTTAATGAATAAAACCCAACAACTCGGAACGTAAAATCTAAAATTTATAAAAAACGAAAAGAAGCTCACGTCAATAGATATAAACACTTCACCAAAGATTCATGCAAATTGGTAAAATCGTTTTTGAGTCATTGTCCGACACGTTGACGACAGACAGACAGACGGACAACAGTATACCATAATACGTCCTGTAAACAGGCGTATAAAAAGGGCCAAAAATAACAAAGAATAAAGAAAAATGGCCTAAAACATTATAGAAAACACTTATGAGGACCCAATGCAGACCAACATTTAATCTTGTTTAACACAAACTTTCTCTTAGAAAAGTGGTTGCATCTTGCAAGGAATAATGCAGCCAGTCGTTGTCTCATTTTAGTATACACTACATCACTCTTTATTCATATTTTCCATCAGCTTATGTACTAGCTGTTAACCTGTGTTTAAAGATGTATTTTTTCTTCCATTTGATCACATGGAAGTACAAAGTGTTTGTTATCTTCTACGGTATAGTCAAATAAATATCAGGTATCATAAAACTTAATTTTTATTGGGTTAATTTGTATTGTAGGATTGCTGTCTAAGTGATCACCTTTTTCATATATAGTCCAAATAATTATGACATCTTGTAGATTTTGTATATCTTTTTTTCTTTTTTTTTTGCTGGATGCCTTCCTATGAGTCCAATCTATTTTCAATTTCAAATGAAAGAACCTTAGTGAGCGCGCTCACATACCCTACGTCCCCACATTGTCATTAGAGAAATAAAATAAGTGTAAGAAAAAAAAATTGTATCAGAAAAAAAATTGAATCATAATTTCCTGTCGATATGCACATCTACATAGTATGTCCTTATTATCTACACAGTTTCATGAAATTCTGTTGTGTGGTTTGAGAGGAGTTGCGATGACAAAAGGTTGCAGTAGTATATTGGGCAAATAAGTTCAAAGGGGCGTAACTCCTGGAAAAAAAATTGAATCGTAATTTCCTGTCGATATGCACACCTACGTAGTATGTCCTTATTATCTGAAAAGGTTTCATGAAATTCTGTTGTGTGGTTTGAGAGGAGTTGCAATGACAAAAGGTTGCAGTAGTATATTGGGCAAATAAGTTCAAAGGGGCGTAACTCCTGGAAAAAAAAATGAATCGTAATTTCCTGTCGATATGCACATCTACGTAGTATGTCCTTATTATCGGAAAAGGTTTCATGAAATTCTGATCTGTGGTTTGAGAGGAGTTGCGATGACAAAAGGTTGCAGTAGTATATTGGGCAAATAATTTCAAAGGGGCGTGACTCCTGGAAAAAAAGTTGAATCGTAATTTCCTGTCGATATGCACATCTACGTAGTATGTCCTTATTATCTGAAAAGGTTTAATGAAATTCTGTTGTGTGGTTTGAGAGGAGTTGCGATGACAAACTGTTGCAGTAGTACATTAAAGTAAATAAGTTCAAAGGGGCGTAACTCCTAGAAAAAAAATTGAATCATAATTTCCTGTCGATATGCACATCTACATAGTGGTTTGAGAGGAGTTGCGATGACAAGAAATAGGACTGACGGACTGACAGACTGACAAACGGACGGACGGACAGACGGGTCAAAAACATTATACCCTCCGCAACTTGTTGCGTTGGGTATAATTAAACTTTGAGTTATGACCAGATCCAGATCTAGGATTTTTAAAAAGGGGTTCTTCCAACAAGGCAATGTTAGGAGTGGGACTAAAAAGTCTATGCAAAAACCATTTATGTAGCTCCATAATGGTCTCAGGCCCACCTTTAGAGCCACCTCTGAGGACAAGTTTTTCAGGTGTTACTTTCAAAGAATGATAACAAAGAGATGTTTTTAATACAGTTTTCTGTATAAACAATACATATTAATCAGCAGCAGTCATTTTTTTGTCCAATACTCCTTCCATCAAATGATTTTTATGACTTGTGAACACATTGTTTTTATACATGTCATTAATTAGGTAACCACTATAAAAATCACTGGCTGTCATTTTCTTCTTGATTATAAACTCTCTGAATCCGACCCAACCATCCTGAAAGTATAAATAAATGAATAATTATTACAGTATGTCCTAATTACCTAAAATAGTCAGTTCTGGAGGAAAGTAAAAATCAACTTTGTAGTAGAATTTGAAGTCATACTTGTCAACTGACCCATGAATTTACCAGCTCACTGTCCAGGTCATCAAATAACCCAGAATTTAATCAAATGATAAGGTCTATTTGACATGTGATGGCGATTTCAAAATCTACTGATGTGCAGTTATAATGATATGTAGATTTTTTTATATTTTGTATATAAATGTGCTTTTATATTTATCAATAAAACATTTATGGCATTTCAGTATTGTTGATATATATGTAAATATGTAAATAATCCTGCAATAAAACTGATTACCATACAAATTGCCTATAATTGCTTACATCCACTTTATTTGAATTTTGGTGGATAGTTGTCTCATTGGCAATCAAACCAAATCTTCTTATTCTTATATTATAACCTGTTAAATGTTCAGCTTAAGAGTATTCACCGCTTCATTTGAACTTTGGTGGATAGTTGTCTCATTGGCAATCATACCACATCTCTTTATTTTTATATTAAAATGAAGATTATGTGATAGTCGTGTACTGTATGACAATCGTCTATAAGTACCCTGGTAATATTATAGTTTCAGTTATCCCTTTAATTTACGCCTCTTTAAGGTGGTACCTAACACTACAGGGAGATAACTCTGTAAAAATCAGCGAAACGTTTTAATCACGTTGTATTGTTGCAGGAAATATTAAGCTTCTCAATGATCAAAATTAGTGTTTGTCAAACTGCTATATAACCAATGAAATTTTTCTGATAAAGTGGTTGGTTCAAATTTTTGAAATTTTTATATTTTTGTCAAAGGGTCAAAGTAAACATTTTGTCAAAATTTTATGAAAATTAAACGAGCCAAATTAATATTAGTCAAGGTGTTGGGTACCACCTTAAGCGGTGCTTGCAACATTTGAAAAACATGAATATATTCACATCATGTTTTTCCTTAGTTACAGTTTTGTACTTCAAGAGAGATCATCCTAGTTTAGTTTGCTGCATACTTTTGATGATTTACTTTGAAACCTTAAAATGTGCTTCTAACAAATAAATTGACTTTTACATCAGTATTAGAACATAAAAAACATTGAAAATATAGTTTACATAATCCATAGCACTTAATTCAGCGTTACTACAGATGCACTTCTGCCTAGCTATCAACAAGATAGCATCACAATCAATGCCACTGTCGCACTTCAGTGTATAAATCAAAAACACACTTCAGTGTCTAACCATTACACTTCAGTTTAACCATCACGGTTGGGAGTACCATCACGGTTCAAAGCCCTTCATAATATATATGTCCTGATTTATAAACTTTGCCGTTTGCAAATATCAAGTATCATCTTAAAATCATTTTAAAACAATTTGAACCTCTTTTTACATATCTGTTGGAGAGATATAAGTCCCTTAACTATTTTTAACCATTTATTTTTGTTGTCACTTGAAATCCATGTGCTCTACCTGGGACTTCACAGAATGTAATATAACAACAGTAAATTCTCCTTTCTTTTTATCTTCCCCCTATGTATAGGAGCACATAAGCTATAGCTGATTTCTTATCATAGTTAAGGTTTATAAAATTCATTAATAAAAAATAGTGTGAAACATTTAGCAGGCATTACTTTTTATATTGATATTTGAAAAATAATACATATTAAAACTAGAGACTCTCAAGAGCTGGTGTCGCTCACCTGTATCTACTGTGGTTTTGGAAATCATATAAAATAAGGTTAAAATCATAATAAATAGTATTAGATACCACAATAATGATTGAGACCAAGTTTGGTTTAATTTGGCCAAGTAGTTAAATTAAAAGCAGGTCATCCCATTGTAGTCTTACAATAGTTACTGAAGACCCCTTATCATTATTTGAATTAGTTTTCAAATTGTGACCATTTAAAATTGTTTTTTTACGATTTTCCCATAGACTTCTAAAGTAAACACCTATGTTCTATTTTTAGCCATGTTGGTTGAATGGCAGGGTCATCGGATACATTTCTAAAACAAGATACCCTATTAAAAATTGTGGCTAAGTTTAATTTTATTTGGCCCAGAAGTTTCAGAGGAAAAGATTTTTGTAAAAGATTACAAAAATTTACAAAGAATTGTGAAAAATTGTGAATTTGAAATTTTGGGCCAGGTGAGCTAAAAATACAATGAAATTAAAATGCGAAAAATAAATTTAAATTTTAAAAAAATTTCAGCAAATACTATTTGTAGGAAACTGGGATATATACAAAAATCTTCCAGGTACTAAAATTCAACTGAAAAAAATTAGTATGTGTTATGACCTGACTTTTCTTCCTCAATGCAGGTCAAACCCTGCATTTTCATTTTCAGAAGTTGACAGGTATGTAAAGTTATAAATTGCATACACAACCAAATAGAAGCAAATACTGTATATATGCTCATTTGGGAGGAAAATCCTGTTTTCTTGGAAAATTTTGCATGGTCAATAAAAAGTCAAGGTTAAATATTTAATTTCATATGTCACCCTAAAACCAAACATATTCTTTCTTGCCATGTCAATATGAAAATGAAGAGATGTGGACTGATTGCTTGTGAGACAACTATCCACGTCAGTTAAAAAGAAGTGGTAGTAAGTAATTCATAGGCCACAGAACGTGCAGGACCTTTTTTAGTGCAGCTAAGGGTTTGTCCCTGGGGGTCATGCCCCTTCCCTCATAAAATAATGATGTTATTTAGATTTATCTAAAAAAAAAAAGGGTTCAGAACTCCATCCTTAACCCATATTTCATCTTAATTGCCTTTCTAGTTCATCATGAGGGACATGCCCTGCCCCTACATACCATTGATGGTAAAATAGCTTGAAATATGTTCATATCCCTACCTCTAAATCATATATATATTCTCATTCAGCAAGACAACACCTTTGAGTACACCATATATGTTTTTGCTGTGGTTCGTGCCCCTTATATATCTGTTCAGATACCCACCCCTAAACCATGTACTCAAATAAATATATCATGACTAGACCAATTAAGTGTAACATATATTGTGTCCCTCATGCCCTACCCCCTCGTTTCATAAATTGGTAAATATATGGAAAACAGTACATATTTCCATGCATTAACCATATATTCTTACTTGCAATGACAATCTTTTTTTTACCAGAATGATTTCTACAGGAGAGACATTAGATTAATTCACTAAAACGGTTCTACCTAGTTGTAATTAAATTCAAAGACAATTTGGTAGAATTCTGACTTTATGCAGAAAAATTTGAAATACTGTGAATTCAGAACGTAATGTGTGTAATATTATTATTGCATATTCATGGTGACTGTCAAAAATGTGAGATTAATTACAGCACATTTAAATTATATTGAATATTGTACAAAAAATGAAATGTAACTTAGGTCATATCACAGTCTGGGCCATATAGGGGTAACTATGTGTTGTGGGTTTTCCTGTTTGTTGCAGATCGTGTGGCGACCTCTGGGTGTACATTTTTGGTTAGTTAACTTCTGAGATGAAATATTGTCTCCTTGACATATACCACATATCTGTTCTTGTTGTCCCCCTCAGCATCACATTGCGGCCGGGAATATATGAATGCTGTTCGTTTGTCTGTCCGTCCGAGCATCGGTCCGGATTGTAAACTTTCTAGCATAATTAATCGTTATCTAATTTGGATAAAATTTATGCAGTAGCTTTCTACAGACAACAGGTCAAGTTTGAAAATGAGCCTTGTACAAAAATTTAGTAGACGGGTAACATTGAAAATCTGTTGTGTTATTCATATTGCAATAATTTTTAAATTTACAGAAATATATTTTGAAAGTTTCGAACAGAAAATTTCGACATACATTGTACATGTAAACGTCAGCTTGTTAGATTTCCCAAGTAAACTAAGAAAACCATGAAGATTTTAATAAATAAAAGCTGGGTTATGAAAAGGTCCAAGAAAGTTGTAAAATTTCCCCAAAATTGTAAGAGACGTTATTATAATACCACATCTTTTTATTTTTATATTGTATGCTTTTATGAGCAAGGAGAAAAACAACTTGAAAAAGACCTCGTTATGAAGGCATTTGCGATCGCCCTAAAAACAACTCCATATAAAATGTTTCCACCAAAAGAATGGTTATCATCAAATTACATGTAGATCAGAAGCTTATTTGGAAACTTTACTTTAAACATGTTAAAGAAAACAAATGAATTGGTGGACAATTGAAATAAAGTGGAAACAATTGATGAAGCAGATGTAGGACATGATTCAGACTTCATTGAAGTACTGCTGTCAAATATTGAATATATTGAACTCAAGAACAGTTGAGGACATAATAACAAGAAATTATTGCTTCTTCTTCTGTCTAATATATATGTTTATGTATCTATAATATTTGTGAATGTATCAACCAGACTCAAGCTAGCAAACAATAAGCCAGCAAACAATAAGATGCATCAAGCTAGCGAACAATAAGCCAGCGAACAAGTCAAGGCTAATGGTTCACTAGCTTGAGTCTGGTAGTGTATCATGACATGCATCTGTTGCATCACAATTTGGTAGTAAAATGATTTTCTTGAGTGTTTAGTCCTTGGATACAGCATGAACTGTACATTCAAGTCTGGCAGTTGAATTCTTAAGTTTGACTACATTTTGACAGTCTAAGAATCATGTCTATACAAAAATAAGGAGATGTGGTAAAATATGAAACAATTCAACTGAAAAACTTATGGCCTAATTTATAACAAAACAGTTTACGAAAAACAAATATGACAGACATGAACCAACAACAACCACTGAACTACAGGTTACTACCTTTGGACAGGCACAAAAAGAATGTGGCAGCGTTAAACATGTTTGTGAGCGCTCAACCTTCCCCCTAAGCTGGGACAGTGGTGTAACAGTACAACATAAGATCAAACTATAAAAATCAGTTGAAAAAGGCTTAACTCATAAGATGGATAATATAGAAATAC